CAGATCGGCGAAAGGATTGCGTTTCACATTATGTCGTGCCTGCATGACGAGAGTGAAAACAAATTGAACCATTATTTTTTTAATTGAGAAGCACTCTGTGTTTAATTTTGAACTTTTATGCAAGTATTTTTTCTACCAACGCTTAACTGGAATCTTTTTTAATATTGATTTATATTGATTGATTATATTATTTTTACGAGGGTAACCCTAAAAATTTTCGGAAAAACGAAAAAATAAGCGCTTTATGGTTTTTCAAAATATTCACCTTTAAGATCTATACATTTTTGTATTCGAGGAAATTAATTGTCGAAACATTTATCCCACTCTGAAGTGGGTAGCTCAGAAACATGGTTTCTGAATGCCTCTACGACCTCTTCAGATGTTGAAAAATGGTAACCACGCATTTTATTCTAACAAACGAAAGAAAGCAAGAAGTCATGAGGCGGTTAATTAGGTGAATATGGTCAATGAGTCATTACTTCTTTCTGCTTCAAATAAACGTTGTTGTGTGAGAGCGGGCATTGTCGTGGTGAAGGATGATGCGACGCAAGAATGATAGAATACAAGATTGCGCCAATCGAGCTAAGAGCAACTGGCCGTGACGTCAACAAATACCAGAATGAGAGAGCAAGACGAATTCGACAAGAAAAAGAGGAAGCATCGAACAAAAGGCAGCATTGCCAAGTTTTTAATTTGAAAAAGCACCAAATTTTTATTGATGTATTTTATGGACTTTATATGCGGCATACATAATTTTATTGTAAGGATGCCGATTCAAATTAATAACAATCAATGTTTCTTGCATGACGGTCGATTTCTTCTGGCATGATTCACGGTGCTGCCACATATTTTGTTGTCGCTTATTATTGTCACTGTGCCATGATTTTGTTTAAATTTTTGTAAAGCTGCTTACCACACTTACGATTGCTATAAATTTTGCCTCCATTTTTTAAAGATTTTCTAATTTGGTGTCTTCGAACTAAAAACAAAAGCACCAAAAACGCACCAAGCACCAAACTCAAAAATTTTCGCGTTTTGAATACCCACTAAATTTGGTGCGAAAAGCATCAAGTTGGCAACAGTGAATGTAAACAAAAGTGTTTTATGACGTCAGCGATTGGGTGGATGCTGTCAAATCGACGAAGAAAGGGTTAGCGGTCCGCGAATGGCGCGACCTTTATTTTCTGGATCGTGGATGCGACGTTCCCTGTTTTTTTTTTTATAGCACTCATCCAATGCTTTTCGTGTAAAATCCTGTAAAAATGTCAAATAGCAAAATTACTCTCTGTAGTGAGAGTAAAAAGTGAGTAACAACAAAAAGTACAGAAACAAAAAAAGCATTTTTCCTGTAAAAACGTCAACCAGTGATCGCTTGACACTTTTCATGATTTTACCAGAAGAAAAAGTTCGGGTAAAATCTTGCAACTTCATTCTCTACCCAACTCTCCAAAAATCGCTCTCATTAGCGGTATTTTTTAGAAATTCGGAATACAGGTTCATTTTTCCTGTAACTTCCTGCAAGTTCGTGTGAAAACCTGTATGTTCATGGAGTACTGGATCAGAGCTTTTATTTCGTCGATGCAAATTTTTGTATACCATTCAGCATTGGCCGTTATTCGCTCCTCAAAGGCAACAGCAGCAACTGGCCCAGGTGCTTCATTACCAAAAGCCGAATGTAGCCGCTCCAAGCTTTGTTTTTGAGGTAAGCCGTACGAAGAAATTTGCATTTTTTCACAATATTGATTTCTTTGAGACGTTATTTAATCAAAACTACTTTGCAAAATTTTGATCTGTAAAATTTTCGAAAATCATAATGTGACATCGACAAAAACGCCGACTAATGGTCGTTTCCGATAATTCAGGGTTTCCCTCGTATTGACTTACACACCTGTGTTAGTTCCGGAATTCCAGTATTCGAATATGTTCTGGCTAAAAATCTTACTACCCAAGTTTGTAGTTTTGCGACGCTTCTCAGCGACATATTCTGCGAATGAAATATAAAAAAAAAACAACGTATAAAGACATCTGAGTGTTTTCTCATCAGATTTGACACGAATGAAGAGCTCTTTCATACAAAGCTTCAATTGTGCTGGAAGTGTCGTTTATGCAAAATCTTTATATGTAAATTTTATTCTAGACAAGTGATATAAGGCGGATTGATCGTTTTAGTTCAGAACTTTTCTTTCATATGGTTGTTGTTGTTGTGCTTCTCTCTGTCTGGGAGAACAACTGAGTAAAGTTCTGAACGCATTTGGGTTGTTAACTCAACTAGAACTTTAGTTCAGAACTAGAACGATGAATTCGCATTTAGAGTTCACATTACTGTTGCAAAATGTCAGATTATTGATTACTATTTCAAAAACATATCGAACGTGACAGCTGTTCAGGATCCTGTGCATATGATCCTGCATTTGCATATTGTGGTGCATTTATAAATTCATAACAATAAATTCCAAACAGTTGCCATGGTAGCAAGTATAAAATTTGGAAATTGCAAAACAATTTGTACAATACTTTGAACAGCCCTTTTGACTTTGCTTCGTTATTTTTTGGAAGTCAATTCAAGAAAAAAATCGGTGAATACGCAACAAATGTTGAAAATAAGACCCATATGGGCAGGTTCTGGAATTCACTTCCGAGTGAATTTCAACCCCTGCCAATTAGAATTCAAAGCGGACTTAACCCAAATTCACTCGGAAGTGAATTGCATAACCTGCCGGATAAACCCTTTTTGCATAAATTTTATGGAGTTTTTCGGGCAGACCGCCATGGCTACTCTCTACTCGCTGATAAAATGGAATCAAACAATGTTCCTGTTTCCAAAAATCGGCAAAATAAATCGGTACTGAATCCGTTGGAGTCATCAAAATTAAAGTTCTTCGTCGGAGAAAACCACCGCTCTCTAGTCGT